CACATGAGACCCAAGATGAAGGGTGTTGGTCAGCAAAGTGCGCAAGCCGCCCTGCAAAGCAACCCTGGGGCAAACTCAGTAGCCGAGCCCACAAACCAGCTGCTCGGACAAGACGAATGGTTTCAGCATCACACATCCGAGTTGACCCTGAACAGCAAGACTAGGTGAACCCCGTGGCCAACCAAGAAGCCGACGACCCGACTGAAGTACACGAGTCTGAAATCGTGCTGTTTGCGGGCCTGCCGGAACAAACTCCAACCCGAAGCAGACGGATGGGTGCACATAAGTCTGAAAGATGCGTTCCACGAAGGAAAGTGGAAGGCCTGCAGACCCCGTCCAAAACAGACACGCGGCCATTTTGCGCTCGCCACGCGCAAGCAACTGTTCAATGTGCACTTTCCAAGACAATTTGTCGTGCAAAGCAACCCCTAAAAATGTGTAAGTTTTGACACGCTGGCCACCTAAGAAGAAAACAGGTGCAGGAGCGCGTCCACGACCGCGACCAAAAATCATGACTGCGGATTTTTGCGGCCCGACCCCAAGGTGAAATCGCCAAGACGTGACCCAAGCATGGGCTGCGTCAAGAGCTCGCTGCAGGTCGGCAGGGTTGTCACTGAAAATTACTATATCATCTGCATATAAAAGAAGTTTGACCACGGCATTTTGACAAGAAGAACCACAAGATACCCCGTTGCACGCACGCTTGATGGCGGCAGCAAGTCCATTAATCAAAATGTTGAAAAGAAAACCACTCAGAACTGCCCCTTGGCCAATCCCATGCTCCACTTCCCATGTGTCTAAGATCCGCGAATCCAGACGCACAGCCGCTGAGCGATCCGACACTAAGTCATCTATTAAACGCCAGAGCTCATGCGAAATACCAGCTCTGCGCAAACGCAACATGGCAGCATCACGCCACGCAACATCGAAAGCCTTGCGTAGGTCTAAAAATGCGCAGTAAGTAGGCACGTGTTGACGTAAACGAAGGGCTTCAAGCAAAGCATAAACTTGCACGTCGGAACCATATCGAAACCCTGCTTGGCAATCATCCAACCGTGGATCAATGCGAGGGCGAACCTGGTTCAATATCAACCGCTCCAACAACTTGGCAAAGCAACATGTCAAAGTGATCGGATGGTAGTCATTCCGATCAGTGGACCCCGAGCCCTTCGCAAGGGGAACCACAATGCCATGTTTCCACATAGATGGCACACGACTACTAGCGCGACACAAATCCAAAAACCCGAGTATTGCACTCTGCCACCAGTGTATGTCAACAGAAAAGGCTTCATACGGGACGTTGTCACAGCCAGGTGCTTTGCCAAATTCACACTGGTGGAGCGCAGCTTGCAGTTCTTCAATTGCAAAGGGTTGTCCGCTCAAGTCGGGCAGGTGTTGATGGAACTGCGGCTCGCACGGATGCGTTGTATGCGGCGGCGTACACGAGCGAAGCGCACTGGGCAGAAATTATCTGCATCCAACGCCGCTGCATTTTGGAAATGGTGCTGCAATTCCTGCATGCACTGCCTTTGCTGACCAACATCGGCGAAAGCGTTGGGAGAAAGGCTGGGTGACACTTTGCTGACGTTATGACGAAACCGGCAGCGCACCCAGCGAGCAGCAACACGAGGGTTAACAGCTTTCATACGCTCAACCCGACTCAGCCATGTTGACCAATATGTGGATTTGGCATGCCGAACCACATGATGAAAATGGTTGCGACTCACACGAAAGGTTGTTTTTGTAGCATCACAGCGATCTCGATTTCTCGCACGCCACGCGGCATTGCGTCGAAGAAGTGCAGCAAAACAAGCGTCTGTCCACCATGATGGCTGTTTCTTGGAGTTTGGTCTGGCGCGGCGGTACAAAGAAGGATCTGCGTTCCAAACAATGTCCAAAACATTGTTGTAAAGTTCATCAAAAATAGCTCTGCTTTCAACCCGAGTGGTCCCGGGGAGGGTGGCCAGTTGTGCATGCACACGAGTGGTCCAAGCTTCAATGCGACCATACTGCGAGCGAATCAATTGACCCCAATCCCTCACATGACGAGCGGTAGCGCAATCGTCACCGGATGTTGCAGGGCGCGATTTTTTGAGCTCAATGGTGACAACGAAGTGGTCACTCCCGGGCATGGGGCAACACCAATCTCGATTCGGACATGAACAATGATAATTGTTGTGGACCTGGACATCTTGCACAAGCCCCGGCGTTGCAATGACCAAATCAAGTGCCGCACCACGAATATGCGTCGGAGCATTGGGCGGGTTCACAACCTCTAAACCAAAAGACCGCAACATAACATTCAAAATTTCAACACACGCCCGATCAGCTGAGCGTGCTTCACGCCCATCAACCAATCCTGGGAGCCATAGATTGCTATCACCCATGAACAAAATGTCAACATTAGGAAGCGCAGCCATAACTGACCGCACGGATTCCGACAAGCGTTGCCAAAATTCTATACGTTGAGGTTCTGGGCTGCCAACATGCGGCGCATAGAAAGAAGCGATGACTGTCGATGCATGGTTTTCGTTGTGACGAAGAAGTCGCCAGCAGATGTCTTGATGACTGCTGATGCCAGGAATTTGTGCGCAAGAACCTGCAATGTCGCGGTGCACCAAAAAGGCTGCATCATGGTTTCGTGTGTCTTCCAAACCATCAAAGCAATAGGGCTGGTCTTCAGGCAGATTAACTGCTGGGGGTGTGTTCGTTTCTTGCACAAGGGCAACATCACAATGCAATAAATTAAGAAACGTAGTCAAGCCCTGAAAAACAGAATTCAACCGACCCGCTCTTGACCACAACCCATTACAATTCAGCGTTGCAAGGCGAATCATGTTGGGCGCATCGGAGTCGCCTATCTCCGAGCGCCCAGCGCATTTCCCGCACGACGACGCAAACAGGGTCGACCGGAACTGGTAGGCGCCACAAAGTTGCTCGATGCATACCCTCCTGACGTGGTGGCCTCATTGCCATGGGACCGTGCCGGAGGCGGGGGAGGGGGAGGCGGAGGAGGGTGGAGGGCACTTTGCGCAGTGCCCGCGTGACTACCATGCGAGGGGCAACGAGGCCATGCACAACACGCCCAACATGCGTTATCAACACAATCGGGGGCTGCCGCGCTGCCACAACTTCTGCACCGCTGGGTTGGTGATATCCTACGCCAGTCAGGCCTACGACGCGGCAGTGGTTCCCACGAGGCCCTGACAGCAGGGCGATGGCGGTGCCTTGCAAAAGTTTGACGTGCGGGCACCTGCGGTGGTGTAGGTGGACAATGTCGGGCACAGGGTGATGGACGGGGAGGAGGCGGAGGCGGGGCAGGCGGCGCAACACGCGGGACATCACATTGATGCGGTTGGGAACTCGCCGCAACCCCAGTGTTCGCGGGGAGTCGTTCATCGATCAACTGCAGGACGTTGGTAAGCATTGTACTCAAATGAAGTACTTGGGATTGCAACTCGTGAATGGCTTGTGCATGAAAAGATGTCACATTGCCTGGATCAATAACGCCCTGTACCAACGCATCCGGCACCTCATTGGTTGACACAACCTGTGGCGGTTGTGCCCCGGGCAAGGCAGGAGCACGTAACTGCTGATCGGGGCTTTCAGCTGCCGAGCTTGCTGACGAGTTTGGAAGGCTGCGGGCGAGGAACCTGAAGGCCTGGCGGCGGAACTGCCGCCCCTGCCTGGACAATCTTCAGTGTGGGTTGGTGCTCACACTTTGCCGGCAGAACAACAAGGCATGGTCGTTTTAGGCACGCCGTTGGGCAGCGATGCTTTTGTTGACGCGTTCGTGCAACACAAGGCAAGGACGCACGCGTCCTTGCTGTCCAAGATCCCCGCTGTCCCTGACCTTCAGGCGGCGTGGCTGCCATTGCTCATGTGCGCCGCCCCGCGTTGCCACTACCTGCTCCGTGCCTTGCCGCTCTCTGCCACGGCGGCTTTTGCCCGCCGCCATGACGAGGCGGTTCTCACTTGCTTGGGGGCGTTGTTGGCCAACGATGCACCGCCGGAGTTGGACGCCCTAGCCGTGGCGCGAGCGCAGTTGCCTTTGCACTTTGGTGGGCTCGGTTTGCGGTCCGCGGAAGCCACGCGCCCGGCGGCACATTGGGCCTCCTGGGCAAACACCCTCCCCACACTCCGCGAGCGACACCCCGGCATCGTTGATGGGCTGCTGACCCAAGCCCGCTCCCACCTACAGCAAGAAGGTTGTCTCCTGCCCTGCGTGGCCGCCTTGCTTCAGAACCTCCGCTTTTGAGACGTGGCTTAGTAAAGAATGTGGGATTCCAAGAATTTTGCGTAAACATCGAGTTTAAAAGCCATCCAGCGGCGTGCCAAAAAAAGGAAAAAACGAAAAGTGTGCAAGCTTTCCCGGTTGAGTGCTGGAGCACGGGTAGCTCGGAGACGCATTTTGCAATCCCAAGCGTTGCTGCTGTCGCAAAAAGGCCCACATGCCAGCCGCTGCATCTGTGTCATGCCGACACATGCGGCCGTTGAGTTTTGTGCACGCTCTCGCTCTCCGTCCGTACGACCTTCGTGCATGTCCACCTCCCTTGTCCTTTGCGGCTTTACTGTTGCACCCCGACCGCAGATAACCAGGTGCAAAAAGTGGGAAGCAAAAAACATCAGCTCGTGCGGAAATCCGCAAAACACAAATCCGCTGTGTCAGCGCGAGTCCTGCATGTGCGTCGTCTGCCTCGGCTGCGTGTCTTTGGAAACAATTTTGCAGGTTGGAATGCGTGAATCTGTGGGGCGTGTGAATCCGGGCCGTTTGCTACCACCAGGATGCCAAGGGGTGATGTGAGATCTGCTATCATTTCTGCTGTCCGATAGGGCTGAACAATGATCCAACTCAGTGTTTTAGAATGTGTGTTGACGCCGTTCGACCTCGAATCCGAAACGAGTTATAGAATTGCGGACAGTATGGACTGACACGCGCTGAGCCATGGTTGGTTTTTCGGGGGATGCCTTCTTGTTGGAATCGTGCCCTAGCAAAGCTGATGATGCACAAGGTGGTGGCCGACATCAATACACTAATTGGTGCTTGCGCCCGTTCTGTGGCCATGCAGCGTGCAGTGGACATTGTTGCGGCCATGCAAGAAGATGGCGTGCGGCCAACGCTCGTGACATACAATAACCTGCTTCATGTGTATGATCGGATGTCAATGCCCAGTAGGGCGCTCAATGTGTTCCAGGACATGCAAGACACTCTCGTTGAACCCGATGTTATTTCTTTTACATCTCTCGTGCATACACTTGGCAAATCCACCCAGGTTGACCGAGCGCATCGCGTGTTGTCCACAATGCAAGCACGTCACGTTGAACCGAACGTGTTCACGTTTAGTGCCCTGATCGCTGCTTATGAGAAGCTTGGGGATGCTAAAGTGGCATGTGAGGTGTTGGCAAGGATGACAAAAGATGCATTGGAGCCAGATGTTGTTTGCTTCAATGCCGCTGTGCGAGCGTGTGCACGGCGTGGCCGTGTTGAGGACGCCTTTGACATTGTGCACAACATGCGTGGTCGCGTGGTGGAGCCCAGCATCGTCACCTACAATGCTCTTTTCAGCGCGTATGAAGCAGGGGGAAGCATAGCCGAAGCATTGCAAACATTCGCCGCGATACGCCAGCAGATGATCTGCCCAAATGTGATCACGTACAGCACTTTGATCAACGCATGTGAAAAGATGTCGAGTGTGGATGAGGCATTGACGCTTTTCAGCAGTTTCCGGGCCCATGGTTTGGAGCCAAACCTTGTTATATACACCGCCGCGGTCCGTGCGCATGAGAAGAACAGACAACCCACCAAGGCTTTGATGTGCTTTGAGGACATGTGCCGTCGAAGCATTCAGCCTGATATTGTTCTGTGCAACGCCCTCATGAGTGCTTGCAGCAAACATATGAAGTGGCGCGGGGCTTTTCAGCTATACTGCGATATGTCGCAGACAATGTGCCCAGATCGGTTTACATTCAACGCGTTGATCAGCATGTGCAGCCGCATGGCTAAGATGACGTGGGCCTTGTCCTTGCTCCAAGAAATGATAGGAGCAAGAATAACACCTGATACGACAACTTATGACGCACTTTGTACAGCATGTGGGCAAATCTCACATCATATGCGTGTCGTCCAATTAGTCGCAGAGACAGGTGTGAATGGGCTTCGGCATCTACTGCCGCTGAAGATGGGCGGGGTCCAAAATCGATGGCTTATGGGTGGCAGACACGAGTGGGATGGTCCGAACGTGCGCGACGAGATTAGAGCGACCGGGAAAGCGGTCGAAGTGCACCTGTGGTCCTTCATGCTGGCAGTGATTCACGCCTTGGTGTTTTGGTTCAAGACTCATGCCATAAACTCATACCATTCGAGTAGTGAACGTTGGGCCGCCATGATCTCTCACATGCGGTCCTGCTTCTTCGTGCTTCCGTTGATGATTGATGCAGCTTGGGGTGAGACGAACCAGGCACCAGCCAGGCGCGTTGCAGGACATGTGGACACATTGGACACATCATTCTCACTTAGCACATCTGTTGTGCCTTTTTTTTTTTTGTTTTCATGGCCTGGAGCCTTTCGGAGCTCGGCGACAGTAGAAGACACTACATGCAGCGGTTCGGAAGCCCAGTTACCCCATGTTGCTGCGCAAAATAAACAAAACTCCTTTGGTTCTGAGAGAAAAGGAAAATCAACAAAAAAAACAAATGGAAGGAAAGCAATGTCCGGATGGATGTTGCAAATGCTGCAGCTTCTTTGACGTTGATACGCCAGCAGGCTTTGTGCAGAGGGGGGAGACGCCAAGCCAACGAGGTCTATACTTCTGTTCCAGTTGGCGTGTCTAAGTTCGCAACAAAGACACGGGCACCGTTGATGCTTTTTTCGAATGTGTATGCAGTGCGGATGACATGAGACGCCAAGGGCCGCCCCACTCCGATCCAAGAACATAACGGCCCGAACGCAGGCTACGCAGGCTGTGCGACGTTTGTGTGAACAGTGTGATCTGTCCACTTTGCCTCGATGACGTGCCTGCGTTGCATGCACCTGGCGTCCAGGATGCGCATGGCGTGGAACACAAGGAGCTTCTTGCAGCAGAGCACACGGAAAGACGAGTTTCTTCCAAGGTACGCCCCTTAGGGCGGGTTGAAGCGTGGCACTTTCTTCCGGTATTCTCTTCTGTGGCCACTCAGGAAGCCTTGGTGCAAGAGTTTTCTGCGCGACTGGCTACAGCACTGGGAGTCACTGACATCATCAGCTTGTGTGTGCTCGCGCTGGTCTTCCTCCTTGCGCTCTATTTCGTGTGGGGTGGTACTGTGAACAAGTTGCTATGGACAGCCAAGGAAAGTTGTTGTTAGTTGTTCGTTCAAGCTGCAGAAAACTTGCTAGTTTGAGGACGTTACTTAAAGGAAGCCCCCACATCAGACCAGTTCTTTGGATCATGCAGACTGCGATTGTCGCTTTCATGCCATCTGAAGGTAACTCATAGCCACCACATCATCACACACGAGAGCGTCCCAAAGAAGGGAGCGGAGCGGAGCGGCATCACTCTTTGAGCTTAAGTTGCCATGTGTCTGTGTAGACAGCAAAATGCACTTGGCACTGGACTTTCGATGGTGCTCATGTTTGTGTCTCAATGTATCGAACACACCGAACACACCGAATATCCTGATGCAGCTCCAGAAGCATGCGTCGAATCCCGGCTTCATGAGCGCGTGCACAAGACATTTGAGGGAGAACGACTCAATAAGCCACGATGTGCAAATCCCCATGGAATGGACCCAGCCAAGAAGCCGGCGAGGCCCAACGAAAGCATCCTTGCCAGTCTTTGACAGTGCCTAGTGGTTCAGCGTCGCGACAACATTCATCTTCGAGCCCACGCCTCGCGCAGCCGCAGGGGCCAGTCTCGTAACAACAAACCCAGGCACTATTGGGGGAAGTTGTTTTGCTTTCAAGGAACTGCAATGAAGGAAAAGGACTTCCGAGCCACTCGGACAACCAGGTGCAATAAGTTGAGTCCCAAACACATGAATGGAAACAGGAATATCGTAGACCATCTATGCTCATGAGGGGCTGCTTGGTGGGGTTGGTTTTGCAACTCCCCAGCTCCTTGCACCGCACATGCCGCTTGAGTTGCGCGATGTTGCACGGTTGAAAGGTAGGCAGAGGGCACGCTGAGGGCACATTGCCGTAGCCAAGGTTGGAAGAGAATCCGTATGGAGAGCTGAAGAACACTGGCATGCGGGCCAGTCGAGAAGCCAAAGACAAGTTCAATCAGTGGCAAGCGCGGCAGGAACAGGGCTCTCCAGTTGGTGCATACAGCCCTTCACAGGTAGCCCGGTTGCAGACCCATTGGGTTCATTGTAGTAAGGCTTGCAATGTCTTGTCAGCCTGAAGGCTTCCAGCGAGGCATTTCCTACCTCTCCAGCCGATGGATCCCGCAGACAGCACATGAGCTGCTGCTGACAATGGCAACACCTGGCACCCGCTCAAATTCCCCACGCAAAAAGGTCTGCCCAATGCTGGCTGTCAGGAGTTTGCTGTTGTACGGTGAGTGTGTTGGGATTGTGGTTGGCACCCTGGTTGCTGTGATCGAAGCGCGGACACTGACAGCCGTTTTTAGGGTCGGGCGGGCAAGTTCCGCTCGCATGCTTCACCGACTGGATGCACTCTCAGAAGATGCAGTGCAGCTCCATACAGCCTCACTACATATGCGTTTGTTAGGCCATGCAAGAAGGATTTGGACTACACCTGGTTCAAGACGGGTTTTCAGTGGAACGCTGGAAATTAGGAAGGAAATGATGATCGAGTGCGCCTGCACCTTGAAATAGTCACAAACAGGAAGCATTGATATAAAACGAGGATGCTTCATACACTTTCGATGTAGCTACAATAAAAAATCTCGATGTTCGACAAAACTTCGGTTTCATCATGAAAACCATGCCATGCAGTCTGTTGGGATTGTTGTTGTTGTTGTGTGTGTGTGTGTGTGTGTGTGTGTGTGTGTGTGTGTGTGTGTGTGTGTGTGTGTGTGTGTGTGTGTGTGTGTGTTCATGTCGTTCCTTCCCAGAACTGTTGTCCTAACACTTCAGCCGCCGCTTGCATTGGTGATGTGAGAAGCCTAGGTTCGACATGGACGAATGGAGTTTGAAGAAACGGCAAGAGGCGATTGGAATGTCACAAGTTGCTCTGCACTTCTCGGGCAACTCTGTCAGGACAAGATTTGTGCGTTGGGATTACACAGTCCCGGGGAGACGCCCTCAGGAGAAGAGTGGAACGCCCATGATCAGTGTCAAACTTCCTTTTTCTAAGGCACAGAAAATCAAAGCCATCAACAGCAAACGAGCTGAGCTTCTGCGAGAGCAGAAGGTGTGCAGCAGACAGTTTTCGCTGATGTTGTCCGACCACTCTCAGCTTGGCGGCAAGGCGTTGGCGAAAGGGTTGAGAAGATCAGTTGGGGAGGAACCCGTACATGGGAAATTCATGTGAAGGGGTGGTCTTCAAGATCATTTTGCCGAAGGGGAGGGGGGCATGCTTTGCAGGATATCATCGTGCAGCTGGACACTCGGGGGAATTCGTGAGACGTGGAATGCATCAAACAACCATCATCAGATCTTGGACACGTTGTCGGTGGTTGCCAAGGCGAAGCAACGTGAAGGCGCAGCAGGTTGCAGTAAAGAAGCCTCGGACTCGGAATTCAAACAGCAGCGAGCCGGGCCGAAAACGTCGAGCTTCAGGTCCCGGCAGATGTTTGGCTCCATGCGATGTGCCCAGGGCAATATACATCTTCAAGCTGTGCCTGGCTGCCGGTATCTGCCGAGGGACTCCCATCGAAAACCGATTCCCAGCGAGGAGACGCCAGAAGGGCAGGAGGCTTAGCCGCGCCCGTTCTTTGTGGGGCGAACAACAGCAGTCCCGCAAGAGACGAGATGAGATTTTGCAGGATGCAGCTCAAGCTGTTTGATAAGCTGTGTGCCTTGTATGGTTGTATGTCCCACAAGCACACGTCGCACCTTTGGTGCAGAAGGGATTCTGGAGAGGAATGAGATGCCTGAACTTCCTTCAGCATTTGCTTGGTCCAGCAGGGGCACAGTTTAGTCCCACTGGAGTGCCTCTGTAGCTGCTAGTAGGTTGGGGCAGAAGGCAAAAAATGTATCCGCACAATGACATTGGCAGCACTAAGGTTATCGCAGACCTTGCAGACGGTGTTGCGGGTGTCACAAGAACTGGAATCACTGCAGAAAGAGGCATGCGGCTTTGCATTCTCACAGCTTTCCACTGGCGTGCCGTTTTCTTGAAGTGGCCCGAATTTTTATGCCAGGTTCAGCAGCTGGAGAAGGCTTCCCATGTTGCAGCGATAGGATGTTTTGAGAACTGGAGGATGCTTGAGATTCCCTGCTCTGGTTGCACGTGTGGCTGCACGTGTGACTGAGGCGGAGAAAGTGGAGCAGCTCAAAGGAGCACAGGCTCCCTCAAAACATCTGCCACTGCTAAACGTGAAGCTTCAGATTGGAGCCAGGGTTGTTGCTTTCGCTTTTTTTGTTCTGTCGAGGTCAAAGTCAATACTTTGAACGACTGGTTTGGCAGGCATGGCCCAACACGCTACATAGCCGATCGGACCGTTGAGTTCTGATTTAGCGAGCACTTCACGTATAGGTATGGTGAGCCGAAACGCCAGTCACAGCCTGTCGAAATGGTCGGGTTCTGAGTGTTCTCTTGTGATAAAGAAAGCGGCGACAAATGAAAGGAAAGGCTTTTGTGGCTCTCGAGAGGCGCGCTCGTGCGTCATGAAGCCTCGAAGGCTCCCCTTCTTGGGTGCGCCGAGCTCCGTCTCTGCCGGGGGGCGCCTGTTGTTGAATTGGTGAGAACGTGAGAGGTACGTCGAATGCCGTGACCCTGCGCAAGGGCCATCTCATCAAGTGAGGGTGTGCGCACGAGTGAGAGAGCGAGATTGTTAGGAGCTTACTGCGCCACTCCCTTCGAAAGCGGCCTTCCAAATATGGAGGCGTGCGAGGTGCAGTGAGCTCAAAAAAACGTGCCTGTGTCTAGGCTCTAAGACTCTAAAGGAACCTTCCGGAGTTGAAGCCGTGCCATGACAGTTGAAGCTGAGCATTGTCTTTTTGGTTGTTTCTCGGTCTCAAGCCCGCAAAAGGGATCTCATCCAGTCTCTTGTCACATTCGAGTGCCCCCAATTGTTCTTATTCGCTCTTAATTAATGCAGGTGAACATATTTCTAGTAGACCGTTCACATGCGCTCGCTGCCATGGAGCCCGAATGCTGGGACGGGGAGGTGGTTCTGGTAAAGTGGCCCGCAAAGTGTCGCAAGCTGCAGGGGAAGCTTCTTCTAACTGCCACGAGGACAGGCAGACTTTCACAAAGACTCAGCAGAACATCTTCTTTTTTGCTTGTTCATTTTTTTGGGCCTGATGCGCCAGGCTGGTTCACATTCCCGATTCACCTGACACACAGACTGGTGCCGTGAACAGAGTTGTTGGCATTTGTTTGCTCATGCTAAGTCGTCGAAGCGTCCAGTATGTCTAGCCAGTACGAATGGGCATTGCCCGTATGGATTGCGAGAGACCGGCTTAGGAAATTCTTTGGAGATCCAGCTTGCCGGAGCCAGGAGCATAAAGCTTGAGATCTCCAAGAAACGGCCTGGTTTTGACGAGGCTTTGGTTCGCCTTTCCAACCTACCGTCTCCACCGGGGAAGCTCGTGGTTGAGTTCACATGTCCTCAAAACAAGTGGGCGCACCTGAGCGAGCTTTCAGAATGGATGCGGGCACGTGAGCAGGAAGCCAAACGGCTGGAAGAGGAGCAGCGACAAGAAGCAGAAACCCTCGGGGAGCAGCTGCGCTCGGTCTTGTCTTCTCCGGAATTGAGCCAGCAATACCAGTACTTGGTGAAGCAGACTGGGATCCTCACATCTTCGGAGTTCCTTGAACAGCATGCGCACGAGATCTCATTGCTTAAGCCACTGCCCGAAGCACCGGCAGTGGATTTAGCTCCTTTGCGCGTCGTTGCAGCTGCGCACCGCTCTGACCATGTAGTCAGCCCAGAAGATCGCTCAGCAATATTCAAAGAGCTTCCCGAATTAGGGCAGCTCCATTCTGCAACGGTTCCATCCATGATGACAGAGGCTCAGTTCTGGGAGAGGTGTTTGAGAAGCCGTTTCTTTATGACCGCTGCGGGGAAGGAGGTGCCCGCTTCACATCCTGAGGACCGGTTGTTCGATTCGCTAAGCACATCCAAGCCGCCAACGGAGCCAAGAGAGCCAAGAGAGCCAACGTTTCGAGCCATCCTTTCACACCTCGAGGTGGACCTGACAGGTGACTTTGAAGCTGATCGGCCCTCGAAGAAAAGCCGGACTGGCGCTCTCATCAGCCGGCTCAATGAGCGAAGTGCTGGAGCTACTGCTGCCATGCCCACGGCTCCCGAAGGAGGCGCTCGACCACCAGGAGGCGTAGCTCCAGTAGGTACAGGTCTCCATGAAGCGGTGGAGAAACGACGATTTGAACTCCGGAATGCAACCAAGGAATTACAGGAGGATCTGGGCATGGCCAGTGCGGACACTTCCTCTGAAACTTTTTCTCGGCCTGCTCAATTGCAACTGAAGCCAGGAGCCGGTGCTTTGTCCACCGTTCCCGAGAAGAGAGGCTCGGATGCAACGGCTAAAGTCAGCCATACCAGCTTGGCAACCCCACCAACATGGACTTTTGAGAAGGGTCCATCTGTCTCAGAAGCCGGCACGCGGTGGGTTCTCAAAACTTCGACCGATGAGCTTCTAGCAGCTGAGCGGCTTCTTCCACTGTCTGGAAGTGGCGGGGATGCCCACACCCACACGGTTGCACCGGAGCCAGTGGTCAGGGCAGTGACTCTCCTGCGCCACTTTTGGTCGAGCCGTGTCGCTGAGAAGGACATGCGCGCCAAGCTAGCTGGTGAGGCCGCCAATCTTCTCGGCGCCCTTGTTGACATCAGCAAAGGTGGTGGAAGGAACAAGGCTGCTATGGCGAGGTCAATCATTCCAGCTCTGCGCCAGGCATTGGACCTCCATGCCCAAGCAGCATCACTAATGGTAGCCTCGAAAACATTGATTGCCTCGCGAGCCCTTCATTTTCTGAAGACATTCTGGGGGAGGTGCTCTGAGTTGCAGTGTTTGATGTGGCTCAACTCCCGATTTCAAATCGACACAGCACAAAGCCCAAGCATGGTGGCCACCACGTCTAGAACTGAATCCCAGGACACCTCCGAGTAAGCATTCATTGGTGCAGTTTTAGCAGGTTTCGCCGAGGGTTTCACCCACTCTACTCATGGCATCCGAATTGCCAGATCAACTTGCCAGCGATCTGGAAGCACGTGCCATTCTTGGCACAAGGGTCTGGAGCTTTGCATGGCTTCGCCTTCCATGCTCTTGGGTTGTGCCAAGGTTTGCAGCGCTTGGAGCTTCACCTCCAGCAGCTGGATGGGTTGGACCGGCGAGTGTCCATTGTAGAAGAACGGCTGTGTCCCGGCCAAAAAATCTCCTTGTTGATTTTTCGCAGGATATGCCAACAAGCAGAATGTACGTTGTGTCACAAGGCGAAGTGGTCCTGTTTCGGCAGATGTTCCCCAGCCGCCTGCATCGGATCCACATCCGGTGCCGTCGAAAAACGACGATGAAATCCTAGTGCCATTGAACGTTCCTTTACAAGAGGTGGCTGCAAGCCCCTTGGCGTTCAAACATGACTAGTATCATCACTTACGTACTGGACGCATAATCCTGGGAAATGGTGTGCAACGTACACGACTTGTCAACCACTGAGGTGCTGCACCGCCTCTAGACACGCCGCGTCCATTACCTGTTGAGGAGGAGGAGTGCTCTCCGCGGCTGGATAGAATTGTGCGGAGTTTATGCGGAGGATAGGGCAAGCATCTGCAGTGCCATGAGTGCCAATAGTCAAGTGCCAAGTCATTCTTAATTCTGGGCCCATTGAGTTAAGGCCGGAGGCCGAGGATCGGTGGGCCAAATTGGCAGCAGATGCACAGACCCTCGGCCACAACTCGAACCGGAGTTGGAACGTCTGAGTGAAAGAGTCTGCAACCGTGACGCGTAAGGACCGGACGAGCGAAATTGGAGGCCAAAGATGCCCTGGCCGCTTATCAAGGTCGTGCTTCTGTAATGCAGCGCGTCGAGCTGGGTGTTGATGAGAAAGTCTTGGACACTCAGACGAAGGCCACCGCTGCTTATCGCTAGTGCCAGTAGTTGTCGCAGCGTGCAAGCACAACAGCATCAGAAAACCGGCACCGGAGAATAAAGGACCGACATAGCAAACAGAAGTGCATCTGCGTGGCGTTCACCGAGGAATCCCTCTAAGAACGGTTCTTAACGGCCGTTGCCAAGGCCACTTCATGATATACGAGTAAACCTCACATGTATGCCCCAGCTATCCAGCAGAAGCCTCGAAAAAAAAACGAATCCGAACCGCAGTCCAAGAGCACTCCAAGTCCATGACCCGTTGCTATTTCTGTCAAGGTCAAGCATGAGTGGGGGCAAAACTGTCGAGCAAAGAGCAGAACTTTAACAGCTTTTCCGACCTTCTTGATAGAGCCCCCCGGTTGCTCTCGGCTAGTTCGGCTCTGTGCTGTGATGAAGAGCTGCTGTCATTTTGAGAGCTGTCTTAACGACGCATTGTACCACCCTAACACCCAAGCCCTAAACCCCAATCATCCCCAATCCCTAAACCCATGTGCATCCACAAGCTCCCTCCCCCCCTCTCCCCTGCCCTGACAGGAGTACTACCAGTTTGGTCAGTCAACTTGGGACCTGGTCATCTTTATCGGCACCGGCGCCCTGGGACCTGTTGGATCGTGCCAGACCTTTATTCTGCTGATCATGAACATTCTGATGCAGGGCATCTTCGTCGGAATTGCTTGGTTCAATTTTTTGGAACCGGATGTAGACGAGACGACAATTCGTGATGCGTCTCGCTGGCGCGAGTCGTCTGCCCACTCCTTGAATGAGTATGATGATGTATCCAGA